GTTGGTAGAGCTTGAACAAATCTGTGTTGGTGAGGATGCTCAGGAGACCATCCAAAATCCAACTTACACCGACCCTAATTCCGAGATTGAACAAAGCTGTGTGGCACACAAACTGTCCCCCAAGACAGATTTGGAAGGCACACAGTACGAAGAAGAATTCCCTCCCTTAACTACAACAACGGAGGATTTTCCAGCCCAAAATTATAATAGTGATGCACACACTCTTTCCCTCGAGAAAGAGATTGATGGCACGCTATCCCCTTCTATCAAAGGAGATGATGAAACTATTTCTGATCCTTCTTTTAGCACAAGTTTTTTCCCACCAGTAACTAACAATGCAGGTAATGACCAAACTACTATCGGCCCTGTTCTTCAATCTTTTGAGGTGGACGGACAGCACTATGAAATCAGGTCCTATGAAGGAGCGGAGACAAGTAACCTAAGGGATGACCCTAACGACTTCCAAGATGTCCAGAACAGACGCAGCAAAAAAGCGGGGAAGAGGGGAACTGCACCAAGGACGATTAAAACTAGAAGCTACGATCCAAATCTTGAAGTTGGAACGGTGAGCGAGATCACTAGATACTGGCCCAGCCGCAAATCAACCACAATGGAGAAAATCGTCACCACCAAAAGTTATTCTGGGCCCTTTTGGTATGTTGACCCGTCGGCCCAATTGGGGCAGATGGGAAAGGGCCAAAGAAAATAATGCCCAGAAACCTTGCCTTGGATCAGCACCCGGGTTTTATAATTTGGGAATGACCATCTGTAGTTCTTTCGATTCACTTCTCATTCAGTTGTTTTTTTTCTTGCATTTCTTGAGGGGCTTTGGCCTAGTCCTCCCCTCCGCTGTACCTTTCTTTTTTCTTATTTGAATAAAAATTTTGCTTTTAATATATATATATATATATATATATATATATATATATAGATAATGTTTTTGTAGACTAAAACATTTAACCTCTTTCATGTCCTATTTGATGACAGGGTTCATGCCGAGTCTTCTCTATTGGCTGGAGCTTGGCGGTACTTTCAACAAAATGGAAATTTCAATGCCTCCACCGATCAACAAAATGGAAATTTCACCATGTACCGGTATTGGTTTTCCTCTTTTTGTCAGATATCTCCCAAAAAAGAATTGTCTTAATATAAACTAAACCAGCTATTACAAATAGGTGCTTAAGGCCATGTGACATTCAGATTCCACTAAAGCGGCTATATTTACCCTGTCAAACGCCACACACAATGGTTGGTCTTCATTCTTAAAGCGTGTTAATGTCATGTTCATTCCTTTTGTACTTATTCACAATTTTTAAACATGGGAATAGCTTAATGCACCCCTGCAATTGGTTGTTGGGTTAGGTTCTGGGTAGGGATTTTGTTTCTTACTTTGGGGATTGGACCTGATTTTGGGTTTGGTTTTGGGTTAGGTTCTAGGTTGACTTTTAACTTTAGTGTTTGACAATCAAATTTGAGTTACAATCCGTTGGATTTTAATTTTTAGGTCAGACTCTAGGTCGTGTTTTGGGTTAAGGAAATTGCGTTTTACTGTCTAGTTTTTTGTTGTGGTTCTAAATACTATCAAATTGTTGTGGTTCTAAATACTATCAACCTCAGATTTCCAGATTCTAGGCGTTGCGTATCAGATGTGCAGATTTCCCGGTATGATTGAAACGTTTTCTCTGATTGCTCGTCTTGAGCTTATGGATTCTTCCCTTAATAATCCCCTGCCAATTATTTCAGCGTGTACGCGCGTTGGGCTATTTATATTCAATTTTGCGAGATGGGATGAGACACCATCTCAGGGATTCCTCCTAGGTATAATCTTATGAGTTCTTTGGCTTGTTCTTCTCTTTGTTGTTTCTTTCTTTTACTGAGCGAAGGGTCATTTTTGACCTAGGGCTGAACCTGCAACAATTTGGTAAATTATTCTTCAGGTAATTTAAATTCCATGTATTCAAGAGTGCTCAAATTCAGATGTGTATTCTGCTCAAATTACTTCCATTGAACATTCTGCATAATAACTTGCAAGCTTGTGACTATAAAGAATACATTTTTTTAGCAGTTTTAAATTATGGCCTGTTTTTTACGTCTTTGCAATCCTGTTTGAAACTGAAAAATGAGAGGTGTGCCATGTGCTACAGATTTTTAGACTCAAAATCTGGCCTGAATTCATCCTTGGGCTACAA